GACTGCTAACCAGATTGCTGAGGAGACTCCTTGCCAATGTGTAACATGCACATTTATGGCAAAAATGCCATAGACCAAGACCTATGACTAATAACTAACTGTGCAACTAATCATTGTCACCCACTATTATATAGAATGACCTCTCCATCCAGACACTAATACACCTCACACAGGCCCTAGTGACAATATATGAGCTTTCTTAGCGCTGGTATAATTGTCTGCAGCTGAAAATCATCTGACATTTTATGTTCACCTCACAGGTAAGTGACCACGTATTTCACAACACAGGTAAGTGACCACGTAATTCACCTCGCAGGTAAGTGACCACGTATTTCACCTCGCAGGTAAGTGACCACGTATTTCACAACACAGGTAAGTGACCACGTATTTCACCTCACAGGTAAGTGACCACGTATTTCACCTCGCAGGTAAGTGACCACGTATTTCACAACACAGGTAAGTGACCACGTATTTCACCTAGTGACGCAGGTAAGTGACCATGTATTTCACCTAGTAAGTGACCATGTATTTCACCTAGCAGGTAAGTGACCACGTATTTCACCTCGCAGGTAAGTGACCATGTATTTCACCTCGCAGGTAAGTGACCATGTATTTCACCTAGCAGGTAAGTGACCACGTATTTCACCTCGCAGGTAAGTGACCATGTATTTCACCTCGCAGGTAAGTGACCATGTATTTCACCTAGCAGGTAAGTGACCACGTATTTCACCTCGCAGGTAAGTGACCATGTATTTCACCTCGCAGGTAAGTGACCATGTATTTCACCTAGCAGGTAAGTGACCACGTATTTCACCTCGCAGGTAAGTGACCATGTATTTCACCTCGCAGGTAAGTGACCATGTATTTCACCTCGCAGGTAAGTGACCACGTATTTCACCTAGCAGGTAAGTGACCATGTATTTGTTAGTGCGAATGGTTCTGGCTATGTGCTATGTAGCTGCAATCTACATATTTAGAGCATATTCTCTGATTATAAAATGGACGAGGGGTTCATTGGACGGTTGACAACCTTTGGCCTTTGTGGTAATTAAAAGAAATGGATTTTGTTTGTCCATATTTTTACTCCCATAGTTATAGGGTGGAGGCTGCTGGAGTCGCAAGGTGTGACATCCTCCGTCAGTTAAATACTGTATTCCACCAAGAATTCAGGGGGTCAGTCCATGCTTCACCATATTTGGGATTGCAGACCAGCAGGTCCAGAGCACAGAGCCACACAGTGCTGGGCTAGCAAAGACTTGGTACAATTCCTTCTATTTTAATCAGAAATGCTTTAAGGCTGCAGCCTTCGATCAATGTAGATCTGCCGCCCTTGCCAACCTACCCGTGACTGAGCGGTATATTTAAATATTAATAGACAATATTCCATAATTTGTGGTTAATATTATATTTCCAATTATTCATAAGGTATCATCAGGTCTATCAGTGCTACACAATAGGTCAGCGTTTACCAAGGATTCTATCAATGACTCAGTTAGAACAGAACCGAGGAACGTCTAAAACCTGGGATCTTAATGTACCTGGAGTAATGAGTTGGGATGGGTCGTGATAGGTAAACAGACAGCCGTACATTTTGTTTTCTAGCAAAGTACATCTTGTTTGTGCAGCAGGAATGTGTATACTTGGTGTTACATGCATTGCGGAATGTGAGCCGTGTACGTTACAAAGCAACTTACCAAGTGTCAAATGCCTGAGAGAGGTGGAGGAGACCGTTCTATCCCCACATGGAATATGGTGATGTTGTGTCAAATAACATTACATTGATGTGGGTATACCTTCCTTTTAATATTCGCTTTAGACACAAAAAGGGTTCATTGCTAAAGTGAGAATCAACAGGAATCCAGACTGAATATAAAGTGAATTTGACATTCAGGGCCCATTCAGTTTGGTTTCCTGCCGAGTCTTGCCCAGTTATACAAATAACCCAGTTAATATTCACAGTTTGGTTTCCTGCCGGGTCTCGTCCAGTTATACGAATAACCCAGTTAATATTCACAGTTTGGTTCCCTGCCGGGTCTCGCCCAGTTATACGAATAACCCAGTTAATATTCACAGTTTGGTTTCCTGCCGGGTCTCGCCCAGTTATACGAATAACCCAGTTAATATTCCCAGTTTGGTTTCCTGCCGGGTCTCGCCCAGTTATACGAATAACCCAGTTAATATTCCCAGTTTGGTTCCCTGCCGGGTCTCGCCCAGTTATACGAATAACCCAGTTAATATTCCCAGTTTGGTTCCCTGCCGGGTCTCGCCCAGTTATACGAATAACCCAGTTAATATTCCCAGTTTGGTTTCCTGCCGGGTCTCGCCCAGTTATACGAATAACCCAGTTAATATTCCCAGTTTGGTTTCCTGCCGGGTCTCGCCCAGTTATACGAATAACCCAGTTAATATTCCCAGTTTGGTTTCCTGCCGGGTCTCGCCCAGTTATACGAATAACCCAGTTAATATTCCCAGTTTGGTTTCCTGCCGGGTCTCGCCCAGTTATACGAATAACCCAGTTAATATTCCCAGTTTGGTTTCCTGCCGGGTCTCGCCCAGTTATACGAATAACCCAGTTAATATTCCCAGTTTGGTTTCCTGCCGGGTCTCGCCCAGTTATACGAATAACCCAGTTAATATTCCCAGTTTGGTTCCCTGCCGGGTCTCGCCCAGTTATACGAATAACCCAGTTAATAATCCCAGTTTGGTTTCCTGCCGGGTCTCGCCCAGTTATACGAATAACCCAGTTAATATTCCCAGTTTGGTTCCCTGCCGGGTCTCGCCCAGTTATACGAATAACCCAGTTAATATTCCCAGTTTGGTTCCCTGCCGGGTCTCGCCCAGTTATACGAATAACCCAGTTAATATTCCCAGTTTGGTTCCCTGCCGGGTCTCGCCCAGTTATACGAATAACCCAGTTAATAATCCCAGTTTGGTTTCCTGCCGGGTCTCGCCCAGTTATACGAATAACCCAGTTAATATTCACAGTTTGGTTCCCTGCCGGGTCTCGCCCAGTTATACGAATAACCCAGTTAATATTCACAGTTTGGTTCCCTGCCGGGTCTCGCTCAGTTATACGAATAACCCAGTTAATATTCCCAGTTTGGTTCCCTGCCGGGTCTCGCCCAGTTATTCGAATAACCCAGTTAATATTCCCAGTTTGGTTTCCTGCCGGGTCTCGCCCAGTTATACGAATAACCCAGTTAATATTCACAGTTTGGTTCCCTGCCGGGTCTCGCCCAGTTATACGAATAACCCAGTTAATATTCCCAGTTTGGTTCCCTGCCGGGTCTCGCCCAGTTATTCGAATAACCCAGTTAATATTCCCAGTTTGGTTTCCTGCCGGGTCTCGCCCAGTTATACGAATAACCCAGTTAATATTCCCAGTTTGGTTTCCTGCCGGGTCTCGCCCAGTTATACGAATAACCCAGTTAATATTCCCAGTTTGGTTTCCTGCCGGATCTCGCCCAGTTATACGAATAACCTAGTTAATATTCACAGTTTGGTTTCCTGCCGGGTCTCGCCCAGTTATACGAATAACCCAGTTAATATTCACAGTTTGGTTTCCTGCCGGATCTCGCCCAGTTATACGAATAACCCAGTTAATATTCCCAGTTTGGTTTCCTGCCGGGTCTCGCCCAGTTATACGAATAACCCAGTTAATATTCACAGTTTGGTTCCCTGCCGGGTCTCGCTCAGTTATACGAATAACCCAGTTAATATTCCCAGTTTGGTTTCCTGCCGGATCTCGCCCAGTTATACGAATAACCCAGTTAATATTCCCAGTTTGGTTCCCTGCCGGGTCTCGCCCAGTTAATATTCACAGTTTGGGTTTTGCACAATGTATTCATTGCTACAATCTGTCTCCCGGCGATTAGCAACAAGGCTAATTATAGCTCAGTCTATATATGAAGTATCAGTCTGTCTTCTCACTGGCTAACAGGTCGATGGATCATGTCAGCCCCTGGTGTCACTCACAGCATATCGTTATCAGAGCAGCTGCTGTCAGATTCATTACTGTAACACTG